ACACTTTTGATGACCATAAGGTAGCTGGCCCTGATGGCTTCACTGCAAAATTGTATAAAGCCACTTGGAATATCATCTGTGGGGAGTTTGTTGATGTTGTACAAAGCTTATTTAGAGGTATTGATCCCCCTAATTACTTTACTGCTTCCACTATAACCTTGATTCCTAAAAATTCCAGCAGGATAAGATGGGGAGACTTTAGACCAATCAGCCTAACTACTGTCATTTCTAAAGTTATCAGCAAGATTATCAGCATCAGACTCCAACCTCATCTTCAGCAGCTTATAAGCAAGAATCAGGTGGCTTTTGTGAAAGGAAGGCGAATATCTGATAACTTCCTTTTGGCCTAGGAACTGCTACTGGGTTTGGATAGAAAATGTAGAGGCAGCAATCTCATTATGAAATTGGATAATCAAAAAGCCTATGATACTATTAACTGGAATTTTATTTTGGATACCTTGAATGTTAGGGGCTTCTCTGGAGACTTTGTCAATCTGGTTAGAAGATATTCTATCTTAATTAATGGCAAGAGTCAAGGTTTCTTCAATGCCACTAGGGGAATTAAACAAGGAGATCCCTTGTTCCCTACTATCTTTATTTTGGCTATGGATTATCTTTCTAGGCTTCTTAATCAAAAGTTTCTATCTTCTCCACATTTGGACTATCAGCACAAATCCAATATTAGTGTGAGTCATCTGTCCTATGCAGATGATATAATCATTTTCTCTAAGGCTACCAAGAATGCAGTAAAGTCTCTCAATCAAATATTGAAACACTTCCAAAGATCATCTGGTATGTATCTTAACAAACATAAGTGTCAAATTTTTACTAGCTCTCATACTCTTCCACAGATTAAGCAATGGATTGCACAACATACTGGATTTAGTTTGACCTCTTTACCTATCAATTATCTTGGTGTTCAATTAATAAAAGGGAGTACTAAACAAACTCAATTCAATGAGGTAATTAATAAAATTCAGAAACAGCTTCAATGTTGGACAAATTACTTCCTATCTAATGGAGGTAGGATCACTCTTCTCAAAAGCATTTTAACTTCTCCTATGCTCTTCAGATGTTTACTATGAAGAAGGGAACTCAGATAAGGCTTGGCAGAATGTTTAATAAATTTCTTTGAGCTGGTCAGAAGAAACAGTTTCATTGGTTAGCTTGGCATAAATTATGTAAGCCTCTACATGCAGGTGGTTTAGGCTTTAAGGATTTCCAGCCATTAATCTTCATTAATCTTTGTAAACTCT